ATCTTAAGATGATTTGTGCCAACCCTCTAAAGAAAGTCCATGGTATTTTGATTGGGATTTCACTAAATGTGTAAACTTCCCTGGGTAACATTGACATTTTCACAATATTAATTCTTCCAATCCATGAGCATGGAATATTTTTCCATCCCTATGTGTTTTCCTCCATTTCTTTCAGAAGTGTTCTGTGGTTTTTAGGGTATAGATCCTTTACCTCTTTGGTTAGGTTTATTCTTAGGTATTTTATGCTTTTGGGTACAATTGTAAATGGGATTGATTCCTTGATTTCTCTTTCTTCAGTCTCATTGTTAGTGTGGAGAAATGCCACTGACTTCTGGACATTGATTTTGTATCCTGCCACGCTGCCAATTTGCTGTATGAGTTCTAGCAATCTTGGGGTGGAGGCTTTTGGGTTTCTGTGTAGAGTATCATGTCATCGGCGAAGAGGGAGAGTTTTACTTCTTCTTTGCCAATTTGAATGTATGGCTCTGTTTTTAACTTCCTAAGAAACCTCAATACCGTTTCCCAGAGTGGGTGCATCCCTGTCCACTCATACCTCCTGACTGAAGAATTCTGCAAGGCCTCAGTTCTAGTGGAGGTGGTTTCAGGTGTCATTTATCAAGCAGAAAGGAGCACACCCAGTTAAAACTTACCAAATTCTGGCCAAGGACCACACATTGCACACTGCAGACAGGGAGAGCTTCTAGATATGACCTGATGGAAAGAGATGCCAAAACAGAAGAGCCCAGTGCATGCAGCACACACTAGAGACACTCTCTGAGGTGCCAGACCCTGGTCACTGTATAACCTCTTCTCAATATCTCTTCCTTTCTGAGGAGGAATCATAACTGGCTTTTCTAACACAGAGAAGAAGGTAGATGCTTAGAGAAACTGCCAAGGTTGAGGAATTGAATTTAATGTTGCACTTCTGATCGCCTTCAGTATTTGGTTTCCTCAGACGATCTCCACAACCCTGCAGGATTAGCAGAAGGCTCCTGTTATATGTCCATTTGCAGGAGTTTCCATCACTGAATGGATCATGTGCATCAGGAAGACTTCCAGCAGTCCACACCCTCCACCTTGGAGCAACATCCACTGAACAGGGATAGAGAGTGCTGCTAATAATAGTACTGCCATTCGCATCGATTTTAACTCCTCTTATGTCCTGCATGAAGCTTCTGTGTCCCTGGAGACAAGAATGAGATCATGTGCATTGTCCTCCGGTGGCAACTGTCACTTCCTGCAAAATCATATAATGATTGTATCATATGCAATGGACTTTCTACATTAAAACAGTTCTTGAATTCATCATTGGAGCATTGGATCAGGGGAAAGAGGGATATAAGAGTATGATATTGTGAGATTAAAAAACAGAGTGCGAGTTAGGGCTTTAAGATATAATGCACAAGGTAGTTATCCCAAAATATTTGTTTATTTGTTTGTAAATTTAAAGGAGGAATTTGTTCTTTGCATTCAAATACCGGTGTTCCAAATATCCAAAGGTGGAATAAGACGGAGCCGGCTTACAGCCAAAGGCTAAAATGGTCTACCCTAAAAGGATTTAGGATTTAATTCATATCCAGTAAAAAAAGTTATCAGACAAGAAAAGGCTAAATAAAAATAATGGTATCTTAGAGAAGCTAAAAGTATGTTTCTTTTTACATTTTTTAATGAAAAGTATCTAAAGAGATGAGACGCTTTACAGATGAGTGGCATAAATGACCAATGATTATGGTAAAAGGCAATATAAAAGAACAAGGAATAATATATTGATGTATGCATGATATGTGCAGGGCTGTTGGAAAATTTCTACCATTTTTTCTTTTTTTAAATTCAGTTTGGCCACGTATAGTATAATCCCCTGTATTTGTCACATCACATGTGGTAACTGGGTGATGGGCATTAAGGAGGATATCTGATGTGGTAAGAACTGGGTGTTTGTACTACGTTGGCTAAATGAATTTACATATCACATCATCTATCAAACAAGAAAATATGGAGGATGTTGAAAAACACACATTTTGGGTCCCTTATAAAACTGAGTTCTGGGGCACCTGAGTGGCTCCATGTTTGAGTATCAGCCTTCAGCCTAGGTCAGGATTATGAAATCCTGGGAGTGAGTCCTACCTCAGGCTCCCCAGAGAAAGCCTGCTTCTCCCTCAGCCTGTGTCTCAGCCTCTCTCTGTGTCTCTCATGAATAAATAAATAAAATATTTAAAAAACAAAGCTGAATTCTGGGAGGAAACCATCACCCAAACTATAGAGAGGCACGTGCATCCACTGACAGACCTGTGCTCTACATGTTTTGCAGAGAAGCCTTGGATTTCCATAGAAATGAACATGTTTCCAGGTGAGATGACCATTGGATCCCTGGACTTATAAAGTATATTTCCTCCCCCAACCATAGAGAGCATCCTCCAACTCATTGAAAGCATGAATACAAGCATAGCCATGGAAGGCGAAGTCATCTCATTTATTTCTGTCTCAATGTCTGTGTTGGTCATCTCATGTTATTGTCTCCTACTCTTAGACTGAGCAACACACATGACCTTCTCTGGTTCTCATTCCAACAGATCAGAATGCTTTACACCAACATCGACTCTGTGGCTCTGGTATGTAGACGACAGATCATGTGTCTTGTCAATTCTGTTATCCTAGGATCTAATTATATATATTCTGTCCAGATGAGATTAGAGCTCATAATTAAGAAGACTTCTACTTTCTATGCATCCCTGTTGGTATTCGCCCACCTCCCTTTCCACTTCCCCTTGTTCATTTCCCAGAGTTAGGTGTCTCTCATGTTTTGTGAACCTCACTGATATTTCCCACTCATTTTCTCTCCTTTCCCCTTTATTCCTTTTCACTATTTTATATTGTTATACTTTTGTAATTTAGTCAATAAGTGGAGAGGTAGTGTATTGTGAGGATCATTATATTTACATTTATCATTTACCTCTTTTCAGGGAATAGAATATTAATCTGTTACATGTTCCTTAAAGAACTGCTGAGAATAGTGCCACCATCATGGACATGGAGGATGTAGTGGTGGTGATGCTCCCCACATGACTATTCACCTTTCCTATTTGGGCTGCAGAAAATCTTAAGAGCTCTAGAAATCTCCTATGGGTATTTCAGATTGATGGTCTTCAAAGTGTTGGGGAAAAGCCCTGCCAATCTCTGCTGATCATGGTTCATCTTTAGAGAAATAGCTGTAAGGCTCTTTCTGCATCTTAGAATCTACAGCTGGAAGCAGTGTCACTAGGTTAGCATGGAAACTGAGGTGTCCATCTTAAAGTGAGTGGTATTTGAGTGCCTACGCCCTAGATTGGGGCATGCACAGTGCCTCTCCATCACCAAATGGAAGGAGTGTTGGGTTCTGAAGCAATCCTGAGGACACAGCATGTCACATTAAAGACTTTTCAAATCCTCATGGACCCCAGTCCTGCTCCACTGCATTTTCTCACACACCTTGCACATATGAATTCAGGGAGAGAGTAAAAAATTATTTGAAAGGGGAAGCAAAAGTTTGAGCCTCGTCCACAGATGGTTCTGCAAATATTCAGGCCCCAATTAAGAGTGGAACTCAGCATATAAAATTGTTTCCACATCCCTGATGCAGCTGGCTTATTAGACGAGTTAAATTTCCTTCTGAAGACAGGAATAGATCAATAAGTAGGTAGCAACACCTTGTAAAGAGGAGACCAAGCAGAGATGAAGGCTTCAGGATGAAGCTGTTGGTCGCCCTGTCAGGTAATGAGCTATGACAAACTGAAGGGTTGCTGAAATAAGAGTATATGTAGTTGATAGAGGAAGAAGGAAGGTCAATTAACAATTTTTATTCTTGTTTGGTTACTAAAATGAAGATTGTAGCTGTCATACATATTCTCTCCTTGTATTATTTCAGGTATTCTTTGCTAACAAACACAAGGGAAGGAGGAGTTAAGATGTCAGACCTGTAGGGGTCCCTGGGCTTGTGTCATCCCTGAACACAGCTGGATATTTATCAAATAATTCTTAGCTAACAAGAAACCAATTGGAAGACTGAGAGAACAAAAAAATGCTAGTCTGCAAGTAGAAAATTGACACGTTTTGGAATGTAGGATGTGTGGAGTGTTGTGTTAGGGAGGAGACATAGCTGTGGGGCTGGGGCAGGGAAGGAAACTACTTCCTGAAGTTACCACAATTAGGATGAGCAGCAAAGAGAAAAACTGTTCAGATTTCATTTCATTCTATGAGTTTATCATGGAAATCCATCCACTTGAGGATATGCCTGGTTAAAGGTGTTCAGATTATAAAGCAGGCTGGAATCTAAAACAATGTTTTTAAAGATACAACTGGAATTGAACAAACATTGAAGACTCTAGAGAATCCCTTATTGCAGAGTAAAAGAAATAATCCCTCGTCAGCCCAAAATTAAAAATGCTATTACAGGAAAGCTGTCCCAAATGCAGGAAAATAGAGGATGAATGAAAGACTAGCATATTGGAGAAATAGAAGATAACATGGTGGAAAATAATGACAGAACAGTAGAGGGAAACAGAGTAAATGTCCGTAAGTGTAGAAATAGGGAACTCAGTGACTTACGAAACAATAACATTCCTATGATAGGAGGCCCAGAAAATGAAGAGCAAGAAATGTTGGCAGATTTATTTGATGAAATAATTACTGAAAATCTCCCTAATCAGGAAGGACAGAGACCTCAATCAACACCCTGGAAGCACAGATACTTTTCATATTTAGGGAGATAGTAAATAAGTGTAAGCAACTCTGTCTTCTGCACATACAAAGCAGCTGTTTTCCTAAAGAATCTACTTATATCAGAAACCAAATATTTAAGCACAAATTCCTGATCCGGAGACGCTCCCTGGGGGATGTTGCTCCTTAGAGAGGAAGCCCAGATTTTACAGGAAACCTGCCCCAAACCTCCATCTGCACCTGCTCCTGGGCCTTCAAGACAGAAGTAGTGAGGAGTGTGCACCCCCTGCTGGTCCCAATCACCTTCTTCAGGGAGGTTTGTGTCTGGGCTCACACTGAAGTCGCCTCACTGTGTCCCTCGCACAGTAATACACGGCCATGTCCTCCACTGTCAGGCTGTTCATCTGCAGATACAGCGTGTTCTTGGCGTTGTCTCTGGAGATGGTGAATCGGCCCTTCACAGCGTCTGGGTAGTACGTGCTACTTCCATCTTTGTTAATATATCCGACCCACTGATTGCCCTTCCCTGGTGCCTGGCGGACCCAAAACATGTAGTAACTACTAAAGGTGAATCCAGAGGCGACACAGGAGAGTCTCACGGACCCCCCAGGCTTCACCAGGTCTCCCCCAGACTCCACCAGCTCCACCTCACCCTGGACACCTGCAGACACAAGACATCCTGGTCAGGAAACTGTCCCACACCCTGTTTCTCTCACTCACCTCCACTCACAGACTCAAGGTCTCTTGTTCTCCATGAATTACCTTTTAAAATAGTGACAAGGTAAATCCACCTGAGCACAGACTCCATGGTGGGTTGTCTGTGTTCTGTCCTGATCCTTGAATGGGGTCACCCAGGGATCCTGGTGCTGGGGCTGCTCTCCCAGCTGCAGGGTCAGGACTGGGCTAGTTTAATCAGTGGAGGGAGGCTCCTTTGCATGTCCTTTGAATATATAATCAGCCCCAGACCTAGATTTGATTCCTTACATATTATTAACAAGGATTGCTTACATCTGTGGGACACTGTGTGTAATGTCTTGTGACATTATGAAATGTTCGAATCTATGAACCAAATTACGTTTGCATTTCTCTATGATTTTAAAAATCTCTCATCAATGCAGGTACTTTTAGAGTACAGTATTTTACCTCCTTCAGGATATTTAGTCCTACATATTTTATTCTTAACACTGGTGTCAGTGTAATAATGTTTTATTAATTACCTTTTAAATAATTTATTGTGAGGGATGCCTGGGTGGTTCAGCAGTTGAGTGAGGTCTGCCTTCTGCTCAGGGCGTGATCCTGGAGTCCTGATATCAAGTCCCACATTGGTCTCCCGGCATGGACCCAGTTTCTCTGTCTGCCTGTGTCTCTGTCTCTCTCTGTGTGTCTTTCATGAAAAAATAAAGAAAATGTTTAAAAATAAATGGATAATTTGTTGTTAATGAGTGTAAACCTATATTTATTTCATATGTTGATTTTGTATCCTATAGATTCCATGAAATTGTTCATTAATTCTAAGTGTTTGGTTTTGGAGCTTGTAGGGTTGACCCTGCAATAAATCATGTCATATGGATACAAATAATTTTTTCTATATTTATTGATTTAAATAACTTTTATTTTTTGTTTCCTTAATTTCCTGGATTGGATTTCCTGTCGGGCCAGTAATATTTTCTTTCTCTTCTTTCTGGTTATTTGTCTGGACTAATTACTCTTTAGACATATGACAGATCTAAGTGGAAATGCCTTTCATTTTGCATGTGCATGAACTCCTCATAATACAACATGCAGACAATGACCAAAGTGGGCAGTCCTTGTGCTTCTTACACAACAAGATGGGTTTGTGGAGATATAAGGCCAGCAATTGGGTTTGGGTCAGTGAATTAGTGAGGAACTGATAAGGGTTGTTTGCACAGCCTTTTGGATCCTACGTTTTCTTATTCTGGTGCTGAGGTTGGCTGTGCCCTAAGGGAATTTTCCCATAGGATATTTATTTCCTGCCATCAGGGGGACATAGAAGGCTTGGCCCATATGCCCACTGGATGTTTTCCAAGTGACTTTATTTCACAATAACCCAGGGGACCAGCTGACATATGGGGTGGCACAGTTTATTCTCCTTCATGATACTATTTTGAATACTCATGGTGGAAATGACCCCCTTGTGTGGATCCTGACTTGACAGAAAGGCTTCAGTTTTTCACTTTTGAATGCAGTGTTGGTTGTGGGTTTTTCATAAAATGCAACTAATTCGTGGAGGCGATCTCTTCTGCCTTGATTGTTAAGACGTTTTGAAGATAAAAGCATGTTAGACATTGTCAAGCAGTTATAGGCATTATAAGAAAGAATCATATACATCCAATCCTTCACTCATTTATGATCTGGGTGTGTTGAAGTGTCCTTGCATCCCAGGGATGATTTCCTCTAGGTCATCCTGTGCGATCTGTCCATGGGCTGTTGGATTCAGGATGTCAGGATTTTTGCATTTATGTGCATTTGAGACAATGTGCATGAGTCCCTTCCTATGGGGTCCTTGGTGTGGGTTCATTGTCAGAGTCATCCTGGCCTCCTTAAATCAATTTGGGCATGTTGCATTCTCATTATGTTTTGGAAGAGATTTAAAAGTTTTGGCCTTAATTCTTAAAATATTTGGTAAAATTCAAAGATAAAGCCATCCGATTTTGGTCTTTATTTTTGGTTTGTTTTTTAATTTTTCGTTGTCTTTCTTGAGGCAGAAATGTTTAGATAATGATTTCAGTCCTTGTATTTGTTCTGTTTTGTTCATTTTTTATTTCTTTATGGAATCGTTTTAGTGTATTGATAATACTAGTAATTTTTTAATAAATTATTTTTTATTGGTGTTCAATTTACCAACATACAGAACACCCAGTGTTCATCCCGTCAAGTGTCCCCCTCAGTGCCCGTCACCCATTCACCCCCACTCCCCACCCTCCTCCCCTTCCACCACCCCTAGTTCGTTTCCCAGAGTTAGGAGTCTTCCATGGTCTGTCTCCCTTTCTGATACTTCCCACACATTTCTTCTCCCTTCCCTTATATTCCCTTTCACTATTATTTATATTCCCCAAATGAATGAGAACATACACTGTTTGTCTTCTCCGATTGACTTATTTCACTCAGCATAATACCCACCAGTTCCATCCACGTTGAAGCAAATGGTGGGTATTTGTCGTTTCTAATGGCTGAGTAATATTCCATTGTATACATAAACCACATCTTCTTTATCCATCATCTTTCGATGGACACCCAGGCTCCTTCCACAGTTTGGCTATTGTGGACATGGCTGCTAGAAACATCGGGGTGCAGGTGTCCCGGCGTTTCATTGCATCTGTATCTTTGGGGTAAATCCCCAGCAGTGCAATTGCTGGGTTGTAGGGCAGGTCTATTTTTAACTCTTTGGGGAACCTCCACACAGTTTTCCAGAGTGGCTGCACCAGTTCACATTCCCACCAACAGTGCAAGAGGGTTCCCTTTTCTCTGCATCCTCTCCAACATTTGTGGTTTCCTGCCTTGTTAATGTTCCCCATTCTCACTGGTGTGAGGTGGGATCTCATTGTGGTTTTCATTTGTATTTCCCTGATGGCAGGTGATGCAGAGCATTCTCTCATGTGCATGTTGGCCATGTCTATGTCTTCCTCGGTGAGATTTCTGTTCATGTCTTTTGCCCATTTCATGATTGGATTGTTTGTTTCTTTGGTGTTGAGTTTAATAAGTTCTTTATAGATCTTGGAAACTAGCCCTTTATCTGATATGTCATTTGCAAATATCTTCTCCCATTCTGTAGGTTGTCTTTGAGTTTTGTTGACTGTATCCTCTGCTGTGCACCTGTATACAATGGAATATTCCTCAGCCCATAGAAATGGCAAATACCCACCATTTGCTTCGACATGGATGGAACTGGACAGTATTATGCTGCCTGAAATAAGTCAATCAGAAAAAGACAAACATTATATAGTCTCACTCATTTTGGAAATATAAATAATAGTGAAAGGGAATAGCGGGGATGGGAGAAGAAATGGGTAGGAAATATCAGAAAAGGAGACAGAACATGGAAGACTTCTAACTCTGGGAAACAAACTAGGGATCTTGGAAGGGGAGGATGGAGGCGGGTGGGGTGAATGGGTGACGGGAGCATGATGTCCTTCCACCGGTAAATGACAAAAAAATTCAAGTGTCCACAGTAACAACTAATTATATATATTTTAAAGATTTTATTTAATTACTTATGAGACACACAGACAGAGAGAGTCAGAGACACAGGCAGAGAGAGAAGAAGGTTTCATGCTGGGAGCCGATGTGGGACTGGATCTCTGGACTCCAGAATTACTACCAGAGCAGAAGGCAGAGCCCCCAGGCATCTATAACAATAGAGAATTTAAGAGGCAATTAACAAAATCTTATTACATTGACACCGGTTTTAAAAATATACTATGTAGGATTACATATTCTGAAGGAGGCAAAATACAATCCACTAAAAGGACCTACATTGATGAAAGATTTTTAAAAACTCATAAGGAAATGAAAAGGTAATTTTTTCATAGATTTGAACACTTCATAATGTCACAAGACATTAGTGGCCTAGAGATGTAAAGCAATCCTTGTTAATAACTTGTAAAGAACCAAATGTAGGGCTGGAGCTGATGATATATCCAAGGACATGCAAATAGGGCCCTTCCTCCACTGATTAAACCAGCCCAGCCCTGACCCTGCAACTGGGAGAGGAGCCACAGCCCCAGGATCTCCAGGTGACCCCATTCAGTGCTCACGACACAACACAAACGCCTATGGAGTCTGTGCTCAGCTGAATTTTCCTTGTCACTATTCTAAAAGGTCATGGAGAAAAAGAGACCTTGAGTCTAAGTGGAGGTGAGTGAAACAGGGGATGGGGGACAGTTTCCTGACCAGGATGTCTTGTGTCTGCAGGTGTCCAGGGTGAGGTGCAGCTGGTGGAGTCTGGGGGAGACCTGGTGAAGCCTGGGGGGTCCCTGAGACTCTCCTTTGTGGCCTTGGGATTCACCATCAGTAGCTTTGCCATGAGCTGGGTCCGCCAGGCTCCAGGGAAGGGGCTGCAGTGGGTCGCATACATTAGCAGTAGTGGAAGTAGCACATACTACACAGACGCTGTGAAGGGCCGATTCACCATCTCCAGAGACAACGCCAAGAACACGCTGTATCTGCAGATGAACAGCCTGAGAGCCGAGGACACGGCCGTGTATTACTGTGCGAGGGACACAGTGAGGCGACCTCAGTGTGAGCCCAGACACAAACCACCCTGTGGAAGGGGATGGAGACCACTGGGGGGTGCACACTCCTCACCACTTCTGTCTTGAAGGCCCAGGAGCAGGTGCAGATGGAGGTTCTGGGCAGGTTTCCTGCCGGGGTCTGGGCTTCCTCTCCATGGAGCAGTTTCCCCTGGGAGCCTCTCTGGGCACAGGATTCTGTTCTTACTATTCAGTCTGTGATTTAGAAACACTTCTTTTGGGGGGATGGGCAAGATGGCAGAAGAATAGGGTCCCCAATTCACCTGTCCCCACCAAATTACCTAGATAACCTTCAAATCATCCTGGGAATCTACGAATTCGGCCTGAGATGTAAAGAGAGACCAGCTGGAACACTACAGTGAGATGAGTTCGCGCTTCTATCAGGTAGGAAGACGGGGAAAAAGAAATAAAGGAACAAAAGGCCTCCGAGGGGGAGGGGCCCCGCGAGGAGCCAGGCTGAGGCCGGGGCGAGTGTCCCCAGGACAGGAGAGCCCCGTCCCGGAGAAGCAGGAGCTGCACCAACCTTCCCGGGCGGAAAGGGGCTCGCAGGGAGGTGGAGCAGGACCCAGGA